TAGTTGGGTTAACTTCAACAACAGGACTAATGGGTGTATCGTCATCTGGTTGCGTTTTATCCAAATCTATTTCCTGCTCATTATCTTCATCAATAGTTGGATTACCATAAAGAGCATTCATATATTCATGGTCTAAGTGTTCACCACCTCCAACATTATGCAAATATTGACTCTTAGTAAATTGTAATGATGTATTATCACTATCAAGAATATGAGCAGATGGAGGGCGGGTATGGGGTTCGGGTAGGGGAGCCCGGGGAACTGGAGGAGGAATAGATTGGCCACTAAATTCACCACTCTTGGATTTTCCCTTATTTTTACTAAACATTTTTTTTAACGAAAAATCCATCTTAATTAATCAAACAATACAAAAGTAAATAAAACAAAACAAAACTATAATATTAAAACTTAAGAGTTGGAACGAGTTTACCGAATTGACGAACAACTTATTGAAAATTATATATCGTTGAAGACTTGAAAACTTGAATACTTCAATTCACCAACTTCGCAATTTTTCACAAATTGGAACACTAAAGTAAGCAATTATAGAAGAAAATTAGAGAGAGATACTGAGAGAGATTGAGAGATTGATGATTTTGTGAGAAGAATGAAAGAATGAGGGGGTATTTATAGTTGAAAATAGGAAAAAAGTATAATTATAAAAAGTTTGGGATTAAAACAAAGTTGGGGGGGGGGGGGGTTTAAAAGGCTATTTTAGAAATAGAAAACGGCCATTTTTTTAACTTTTGTAACGGCTAAAAAAAATTTTGGAATAAAAAATTTTTTTTAAAAAAAATAGCCGTTGGGCCTGTTTGAGCCCGTTTAGGACCGGTTGAACCGGCCCACTTAGCAGCCGGTCCCGGGCCCAAATGGTGCCGGTCTCACGGGCTTTTTCAGGGGACCGTCCCACTTAGCAGCCCACCCCACCTGGTCCCGGGTTTAAACGGTTAGGCCCGTTTAGGCCCATTACCCATATGGGCTCGCGGGCCCGAGCCTAACCGGCCCACATGCCGGCCCTACTCCCAGAGGTAGCCCAAGATATACAGTAGGGAACTTCTCAATGTTGCAGCCTCAACATCAGGGCCATATCTCGTACCACAGAGTGTACGTTGACTGAGAATATACTATTTTTGGAAAGATTAACATGAAGAGTTGCGACAGCTTCAAAAGCTAAAAGGATTACCTTTAAATGCGGTAGTTGCTCTTATTTTGCTTCACAAAACACTAGTATATCGCCAGCCTACAACATATGTGAAATTACAACCTCATTACCTTCTCTGCTTTACTTTCTCACCCTTCAATCCATCCTAGCTCCTCTGCCCTTCTTAACATAAGGCTAAAAGCTTCTGTTACTATTACTAATAGTCTATTAGGAATAGGAAGGGAGAGAGAAGATCTTCATGTCTACTTCTCTAGGGACTGAAAAAGCCTTCTGGTGAACCATTCACTACTATAGACAATTTAATAGTGGATATACAAAACTTAGTCCATGGTATCCACTTCTCTCTGAAACCCATACACTAAGTTTTTTAAGAGAAAAGACCAACTAACATGGTCGTAGCTTTTTCCTGATCCAATTTACATACTACACCTGTTATGCCTTTCTTCATTTTGTAATCCAAAGAATCATTGGCTACCAACATGGCGTTCTCACTAAGTATTTTAGCAAGAATATTGTAAACACTTTCTAAGAGACCGATGGGTCTAAAGTCTTTGATCTGCACAGCCCATTTTCTATTCGGAATCAGTGTGATGAAAGTGGCGTTAAAACTTTTTCAAAACCTTCACTATGGAAAACCCCCATTGTTCTCAGAATATCACCTTTCACTATATGCCAGCATTTTTGGAGAAAAAAGGAAGCCATAATGAACCCATATGGACCAAGGGCCTTGTCGCCCACAATTATTTTATAACTGATTCTAATTCCTTCTCATCAAAGGGCCTTCGTAGCCAATCCTTCTCTTCCTCTGTAATTTACGCTAAATTTTCATCGAATTAAACAGGCCTCCATACCTCTTTTCCAGTAAAAAGTTTTTCATAGAACTTCAATATATGATCCTTAATCATTTCAAGATCCCCTACCAAAGAACAATTAATCAGCAACTTATCAATATTGTCATACCTTTTATGCGCGTTGATTTTCCGAGAAAAAACTTGGTATTTCTATTGCCTTGTTGTAGCCAAGAACACCTAGCTTCCTGGTTCCACAAAATTTCCTCTGTATTGGCCACCTCTTCAAGCTTACTGAGCAGTGCATCTTTAGTTAGAATTTTTTCATCGGCCAATGATCTTTCTGGTTCATCATGATCCAATTCAGCTAGCTTATCCAGGATCTTGGTTTTTCTATCTTTGATTCTGCCAAACGCTTTCCAATACCACTCCGTTAGATCATTCTTCAATCTTTTCAACTTTGTGGCAAGAACTTTATCTGCTCTACCTTTTCCATCAAATGAACTCCACCATGTTGCAACCATATCAACAAACTCTTTTTGTTCTAGCCACATATTTTCAAATTTGAAGATGGATTTTGCTTTGACCAATTAACACATTTTAATAAGATGGGATAATGATCCTAAACAGGCCTTGGAAGCACTCTTTGTTTCAGAAAACTGAAAGTTCCGTCCCAAATGTTAGACACCATAAACTGTCCAATCTGGAGGCTGCACCATTATTCTTGCCTCTAAACCATGTGAAACTTCCCCCATGTAGTGGGAGACTGGGCGATCCACTAGAGTCAACTCATTAATTATATTTGTGAAACCCCTCATAGCTCTAGTGTTCCTTGAGCTTCCAAATCTTTCTTCAGCAAACCTGACCATGTTGAAATCACCTCCAACCATCTAATTTCTTTCCACTCAACCCTTTAATTGCTGCAAGCTCTTCCCATAGCTCCTTTCCATTTATTCTATTGCAAGGTACATACACCACAGTGAAGACAAATTTGAAATCTGATATCTCTTACTAAAAATACTAATATAGAATACTATCTGTTTACAATTTCTTTACATTCCCATCTTATCTTGACCCAGAGCACTACAGTACCTCCAATGTTAACTTGAGCTTCAATTTCAGCACATCCAATCCACCTGTTACCCCAAGTCTGTCATCAAATTGTCCTTACATTAATTTCTTGAAGACAATATACATCTGACCCCCATTTCCGTAGTGTCAGCTTGATCTTTTCTTACCCCTCTTATATTCTAGCTAAGTAACTTTAACTTCATTTCTACCATCAGGATCCCTCCTGCCTTCACCTTTCCCTTTCACACTGTTTGAAATTTAACATTGATTTCTAACAAATTTAATTACCTCAGGCAACACAGTTTTGCAGATGGAGTGGAAATCTTTTTGACTTTTTCCTTCTAAATTCTCGACAATAATTCAAGGACATCTTGTTCACAGCCTTGTGACTGCGCCCTTAACTGCTCGCACATTCTCAGCATAACTCTCTTGACCCAATTCAAGATTTTACATTTCTTTGTAGCTCGGTCCTTCCTCGTTCCATGGAAACATGAGGATTTATGTCGGAAGATCTTCCGAATATATGTATTCTCCTAATTTTTGACTAGGTAGTAAAATTTCTAACATCGCACTCTGTTCAGGACCATCAACAATCTCTCTTCGGACTTCTTCAAGCTCCCGCGCATGAGTGTTGACGGTGAGAGCTTCCTCATACTGTAGATCTTAAGTGAAACTTCTCTATCGCCAATCTGACATTTCCCCAAAATCTTCATTAATTCTAAGAGTTCTTTGACTCATCTGAGCTTCCAATCCATTTGCCATAGCAGGAGATAAATCGATCAACTAACCAAGAAGTTAGCAAAGTTCAAGTATTTCCAATTACAATAAAGGCATAAAAATCTGAGAGTCCCTTAATTACATAATTCTAAAATGGTAGATGTACATGAACAGATAACACTTGTACAAAATGAAGCCCTTAACAATAAAGGAAGAAAGAGCACAGATACACTTGCACAACATGAAGCCTTGACTATAAAGGAAGAAATAGCATAAACAGTACCTGAAAGAAATATCGAGCTCAATCTAAGAGAAGACATCAAAGTCCAATGAGTTAACGTCCAAGAGTTAACTTCTTCAGAAAAAAAGGAAAAAAAAAGTCCAAGAGTTAGCTAAAAGGACTCAACAGGTGACATATGTTATAGGTTAGATTTTTTAATTATTTTCTTAATTCATTTTTGTTTTTTGATTTTGTCGGGAGTAGGAGTAAAAGGGGAAAATGCCTGGACGTCTCCAGGTGCAACCATTTAAGAACATCAAAAGAAGGCCAGAAAAGCATTTGAGATTACATGTTCGAGACTCCAGAATACAAATCCTAGATATCAGCTACTTACACAGCACAGGGTAAAATCATAAGCAATAAGTTTACGCTTCGCGTGACCTAATATCAAAAGTTTCATGGGATATACACAAATTCAATGAATGGTTTCAAAAAACACAGACAGCTTCTTTATACTCAGTAATCACAAAATTCTTACCAGCAAATTCAATAGTATTCTTTATACTCAGTAACACAAAATTCTTACCAGCAAATTCAATAGTATTCTCTTCTACAGAGCTGGTGAATTGAAGCCTAAACAGTGTTTGAGTTGGTCAGCAGGACCAGCACAAACAAGGGACGGATATACAGTACATGAATCTGTCCATTCTGCAATAGGAAATATAGAAAGTAATGATATAAGTGAAAGCTCCATTTCCTGATTTTCTTTTTTAATATGCCCCACATTTCTCAGGCAGACAAATTCCTAAAAGGTAATTGATAAATATATTAGTTTGAAATTGGAAAAAAAATGAGCATGTCACTGCCTCACAGTAGACAAACATATCAATTAATTTTGGAAAACTTAGCTTACTTAGAAATGTCTGGTAAGACCTTAAAACTAACAAATAGATACGTACTCTTGTTTACAAGAGAGAACTTGTTATGGTGATTTAAAAGAGTCTAAAATTTCTAACTTTACTTGCATCAAATGACAGTTATGTAACTACACCCACTAGAGAAAAGTAAATATTAAAAGAACGAAAGAATTGCCTTCATAAAAAACTCTGTTCCATTACAGAGTTCGGAATTCATCATTCACAGGACAGTACAACAGCTTGAAAAGAACAAATAAATTTCCTGCAGCACCTATACCATAACGATATCAACCTTAAAGGTCAAAATTTCTGTCCAGAATATGGGCACATGTTACCAGTAATCCCCACATGAACAAACACCATCCTTGAAGTGATGAAAGCGATTAGAGTCCCTCACAATAATCTCTCTCTCTGTTATCTTAGAAATAAGTTTAGTCACATTGTGGCAGTCTCCACAAACCCGCAAATTTTTATAGATCCGTAAAGGACTTCTATGAGGAGTGTTAAGAATTCCATAAGCAATAGCCAATCTCTCACTATGACTGGTAAGGATTTGTTCCTTTTCGTCATCCTCAACATCTTGTAATACAAAAGTATAGTCTGGAGTATAACCTAGGGACTTCATCTTAGCAGTTAAAATACTTAATTCCTCGTATATCTCATAGCACTGCGGGTGAGATTGATTTGCTGTGTAAAAGACTTCAATTTTATTGTTCAGTTCAATTGAGCTCCATCCAGGAGTCTTCTTCAACCCCCTGTCTCTAGCCAATGATCTCACTTCCTTCACCCCCTCCCATTTCCCATAATTAGCATAGATGTTAGACAACACGACATAGTACCCAACATTCTCCGGGTCAACTTCAAACAAATTATCTGAAGCCAATTTACCCAGCTCAACATTTCCATGTATTCGACATGCACCTAGAAGAGCGCCCCAAACTGAAGCATCAGGCTGCAAAGGCATGCTTTTTATAAATCGGTATGCTGTTTCTAGGCGCCCAGCCCTAGCAAACATATCAACGATGCAACCATAGTGCTTTAGAACAGGTTTGATGCCAAACTCTTGCTCCATCATATGAAAGTATCTTTTACCCTCATCAACTAATCCTGAATGGCTACAAGCTGACAATAGAGACAAAAATGTTACATGATCTGGTTTAACACCCTCACCCAGCATATCATTGAATAGTTTCAGAGAAACCCTGCCATTTCCATGAATACCATGACATGATATTATGGCATTCCAAGGGACTGTACTCATCCTAGGCACCTCGTAAAACAAAGACATGGCATCATCCAGTCTTCCACATTTACCATAAAGGTCAATGAGGGAGGTACCAACAAAGATGTCCAAATTAAGAGCTACTCTGAAAACATGCCCATGAGTCCTCATTCCTTCTCGCAACGCACCTAGATGAGCATAAGCTGGTAAAATGCTAACCCAAGTTCCTTGGTTTGGTGCTACGTCATCACATTTTTTCATCATGTTGTAAATTTCAATAGCCTCACTTGCAAGACCATTTTGAGCATAACCTGAGATCATTGAGTTCCAGGATATCACATCCTTAATCGGCATCTCGTCAAAAACCTTACGACTACAATGAATGAAACCCAATTTTGCATACATGTCCACAACAGCATTACACACAATAACATCCTCCTGAATCCAACATCTCCTCAATATAAATCCATGAACTGATCTGCAGCAATGGAAACTTTTGGTCTGAGCTGTACTAGAAGCTAAACTCACAATCGTCAACAAGTCAGGCTGAATCTCATTTACCCTCATCTCATGAAAGTACTTCAGTGCCTTTTCAGGTACATTATTTTGCTCATATGCAGCAATTAAAGAGTTCCATGATATTAAATCTCTTACAATCATATCATCAAATACTTTTTGTGCATGTCTTAACTCACCAAATCTGGCGTACATGTTTATTAAGGCATTCGATACAAAGACATTTAATTCTAGGCCATGCTTTATAACATACAAGTGAATTAACATCCCGTGCACAATATCATCAAGCTGCGCACATATAGGAAGTACTGTTGCGATAGTCACCGAATCCATTTTTATACCCTCTAATCTCATCTCATTCAACAGGCTCAATGCCTCTATAGCATTTCCATTCTGACAAAATCCAGATATCATAGCATTCCAACAACCCATATCCCGAAAAGGCATATTCTTAAAAATTTTGAAGGCAACATTAGATGATTGGAAACGGCAATACATATGCACCAAGGAGGCAGCTACAAACACATCCCACTCTAAGCCAAGTTTCGAAACCCAGCAATGTATTCTTGCACCATCAAGTATATTACCGCAAGCTTTCAACGCTGGAGGGAAAGTGTAAAAGTCAGGCTTAACATCAGCCGTGGACAACATTTCATTCAAACAATTCAGAGATTCACGGAAGTTGCCATTACGAACATAAGATGATATCATGGAATTCCAGGTATAAGCATCTTTATTCTCTATCATGCAGAAAGTCTTCTGAGACAAAGAAACATCACCCAAGTGAGCATAAAGATTCCCAAGTCTAGTGCCGATAAAGATACTCTGAGCCTTCCCTGACACAACGAGAAGGGCATGAAGGCACTTCAAAATGTAGATTTTGGTACAGGATTTGAATAAATGCTCAAAGTCTTTCTCTTTTTTCCTGCTTGCAACACCATTTGATAACACCTCATTGCAACTTCTACTTGAGTATAACTTGCAACAGAAAGAGGAGAATGGTAGCGATTTTGTGGAACGCCCACCTTTGAACGACAGTAATAATCTGCATAGACAAAGCCGAAAATCAAATCAATATGAAGACCAAAAGATTACATGTTAGAATTCATCCCCTCTCTTTGGAAAGTACAATAGGAAGAAGAAAACATCATATCAATAGTCAAAATGCCATGACAATATAAAGAACAGAATGGGAAGTTGAAGCCACCACTAATGCAAATAGGATAATAAATAAACAATTGAATTATAAGCTCCTCAAGATAACATGCAGAATACCCAAATTGATGTTAGAGATCACATGGAGCTAATGTGTATGCGGTAGATTTTGAGGCTAGACTTAATAGTTACTACATCTGAGAGTTCATAATGACTACCCTCCTTCAAAAGCTATTGGGTTAAGCACTGCAACCAGGTATGCGAACAAATTACCTAAATTAATAGAATTTGAGACGGTAAAATTCTTCTTAGGTGTAAATGAGACATACTTTGTTTGTAAATTAGACTGTAGGCATTTGAATGACTAAAATATTTGCTACCAAAATCATCACTAGTATCCTTCTATGATCCCAACTTTATCCTAAAGGATACATACACCATAAATTTCAAGAGGACTCATAGGATGTGCATATTTCTTGACAATCTACATGTTCCGATGCTTCCCAACTTACAAATCTTGGGATAAGAATCTTTTTCCTTTCAATTATTCACTTCTTTCAGAACTAAAATGAAAGAGGTGAACAATCTCAGACTCTCTTTGGCTTCTTGAGACCATACCCAACTATCAAGACACTTGCATTTGAAACTCGTATTAGACCAATTCATCACTTCATCCTTTTATCATAACTTGTTCATTCAGAACCCTTGAAAATTAAGACATTCAAATGGTTCTTATGTTCACGGTAGTCTAAACACTAATCAACTCCAACAGTTGAGAAGGTCTTACAAATTTTTAAGTTTCAATTCTTCTTATATGTGCAAGAATTCCAATGAGATTCAGCCTACCTGCTCTTTTGGAGTTTGTGGCAGTTACATAATTGGTTTCAGTGAGGAAAAGGAAAAGGAATGGACAGAGTTTAGAAAGAGTTGTGTTGCATGCTATTTACATTTCTTTCAGTGGATCATGTGTGGGCTAGAAGGATGCCGTAGTTGTTTTTATTTCACTAAGGAAATTCGAAGTCTCTGTTCTGCTAAATGTTATGTTCTATTTTTAATATATAGCATTAATTCTGATTTCAGCGAACAAAACATTTGAGGTAGCTCATAACGTCTAGCCTAATCCCCGTTTCGTGTTTGATTTTGTTTAAATCTTAGTTTGAATTAGGTCATATCTATCTTAGAGACCTATTGCTTCAAGAGTTATAACTTATTGGGTTGCCTATTATATAGGAACGACCTGTATATTTTATTAAGGACAGATAACTTGCCGAATTGAACTGATTCTACACAATCTCTCTCTCTCCCTACTTCCTCCTCCTTCGCGTCTATTTACCCTTTATCTCTCCCTCTCTCCTCCTCTCTCTCTCTCTCTCTCTCTCTCTCTCTCTCTCTCTCTCTCTCTCTCTCTCTCTCTTTTCTTGTTCTGTTATTCTTCTTTATTTCTCCCCTCTCTTTTTTCCCTTCTCCATTTCATTACTACAACATTCATTTGTCTACCCCATCAAAAGTAAAATAAAGCAAGTCTTTCACATATTAAAGATTGAGATTGTTATCACAAACTAGTATCATAATTTATCAGTCCAGACTGGTATAGCAGCTTATGTACATGGCTGCGAGTGTCAATTCAAGTTATTTGTTTATAAGGAACAAAATTATGTCAACTTATGTTAATATAAATTGATAAGCTTTAATGAAACACATTGGTGCTTGTGCTTGACAACAGCTTGAGGGTAGGTTCATTATCCCCATCTAGCCAGTGCTTAGGGTAGCTTCTCAGAAGTTACTAAAAATAATCTAGGACGACTTACCACCATAACATTGAGAATCTAGCAAATATTAAATTTCGATGGTTTAGGTTCCTGATGGGGTAAAAAATTTTCTGTAACTGGTGTCACTACCTATGGATGAAACTTGTTGTATCATATGAATAGTGCTCGTAAGTGAGCAGATTGGGTTGGGTTTGTGCGACCTGCCAATATTTAATATGGGCTGAAAATGGGTAGAGTGATGGATTATATGGGTCAAGCCATATATTCTGCACCTTCAGCTTTTTAGCTTAAGTAAACCTCTGCACTGCAAAACAAAAACTATAGATTGGTCTTTTTATAACCAAAAGTCCAAAACTTAAGTAATTCCAAACTTCATACATAATTGTAAAAATTGCTAATCCTTTAGAGAGACTCCTACTGCTATTCATAAACTAAAACAAACAAAAAAAAGGACAAAATATCATCTGTTTTATAGTTGTAGAGTCGAGAAAAAGCTGGTGCAGGACAAGAACTAGGGAAATACCTCTTTCTCTTTAGATATATCTGCAGTCTCAAATTAAATGCTCAATAAATGAAGGCAAGGTGAAGCGAAAAATGAAAAATGAAGGCAAAAATAAATAATTAAAAGGAAGAAATGGAAAATGAGAATCATCCTATGAATCAAATCCACTCTTTTATTCAAAAGTATAACCAACAAATGTCATCTGAAAACAAATTTCCAAATCAGACCTCAACGCCCAAAACACCTTTTTGCAATATGAATTTCAACTGTTTAGATGTTCTCTAATATGCAAACCTATCAGATCAAGAAGCAGAAAAAGAGATCATCAGCAATAATGATTTGATATTGAAGGTTCTAATCAGTAAATTATGTTCTTCCTCAACACTATCAAAAGGACCTCAATCAGGCTCATATCACTAGAAATCAACGGCGCAGATTGCCTTACACCATCAGATTTCTAAACCTTATGATCTAGCAATGCATAATGAGCCACGTGTCTGCCAGTCAAATCCCCTCTCCCCTATAAATTCCGCTCACGATGAACCACTCACCATGGGAGGAGGAGCTGGTGGGATCTCCATTCCCCATGTAGATAGAGAGCATAAGAGAAGTAAAAGAATCAGATTTTATTTACACCTAGAATAGGGGAAATGGGTTGACCTGTTAACTCATATTTATTGCGGTTTAAATGGGTTGAGCCATATTTTACCCATGTGACAAAAATAACTCACCCAACCCATATACAGTTTGGCGGGTTGTCAAAAGAATTGAAATTTTGCCAGCACTACATATGGATGAAGTTTATGATCGATAGCCATGTGATTTAAATTTGAATAATTCCATCAAACCAACGGAACTACAGGTTATCAGTACTTGAGGCCTCACTTCATCTGAAGTTGTCCTATGAATTGTATTACATACAACATTCGGTGTTTGTGATATTAGTTTGAGTACTCCACCTGTTTCACTTATATTTGCTAGATGTCCTCTCATAAAGGACTAGGTGCTCCATCAGCACTTCCCAGAAAAGTAGCAATTCCAAAAAAAGACTTTTTCTCAATGAGAGAAGACCAGTTAGGGGATGCAATTCAAGCTGCAACCGAGTAACTTAACCCGCATGCTTTCTTAGGCTTGTCATTATCTACATGTAGGCTAGGTATGTTATTGATAAAGGTGTAGGCTAAGTACTTTTCTCCAATCGAACTAATTAATGCTGTATTGTGGGCCGGTCTGGGACCTGGACCGGACCGGGCCCGCGGTCTTAACGGGCTAAACGGTCCCGGCGGGCCGGTCCCTGATGGTGTAGAAAGCCCGTGGCGGGCTGGTCCCTTGCATCAAGCCCACGAGACCGGGACCGCTAAGCCCGGGACCGGCAGGCGGTCCTGGGCCGGTTCAACCGGGCCTAACGGTCCTAACGGGCTCCAACGGCTCTTTTTTTAAAAAAAAAATTTTTTTTTTAAAAAGACCAACGGTCAGATTTTAAAATCTAGCCGTTGGCCTTTAATTTTCAACCGTTTGGAACTTTAAAAAATAGCCATTTTGCCCCCAAACTTTATTTTAACCCCAAACTTTATATAATTACACTTTTTCCCAATTCTCAACTATAAATACCCCCTCATTCTTTCATTTTTACTCACCAATTCATCAATCTATCTCAATCTCTCTCAATCTCTCTCAATCTATATCTAATTTCTCTTCTATAATTGCTTATTTTATTATTGCAATTTCGTGAAAAATTGTGAAGTTGGTGAATTGAAGTATTCAAGTCTTCAACGATTTTCAATTTTCAAGAAGTTCGGCAATTCGGTAAACTCGTTCCAACTCTTAAGTTTTAAGAATATATTTTTGTGTGTTTAGTTTGCATAATTGTAATTAATATGGCATTTTCTTTGAAAAAAATGTTTGGTGGTAAGGGAAAAGCTAAAATTGGTGAAAGTAGTCTCCAACCTACTACCCTTCCCCCGGCTCCCCGACCCAGACCTGTTACCCGTCCTGCTGCTCCTATTATTCTTGATAGTGATAACCCTTGTTTTTAATTTTCCGATAGTGAATTTTGCCATAATGTTGCACCAGGTGAACAATTAAATGAAGAAGTTATGAATGCTCTTTATCCTAATCAAACTATCTTAGAAAATGATGAGGAAAATGAGGATGTAGATGAAACCCAACCGGATTTAGATGATACACCTACTAGTCCTGTTAATAACCCAACTGATGCCCCACCCGACCCACCTGTAGAAACCCCTACTTTTAATAGACAACCTTCTAAACGCCTAGAAACATCAATAGTTTGGAATTTTTTTACTCAAGTAAGAGAACAAAATAAGGCTAAGTGTAAAACTTGTGGGAAATTGCTGGCGCATAAATATACTGGAGACCGTAGCGGTACGGGTAGTTTGGCTAGGCACATACAAACACACCCTAGAGATAAAGTTAAATATTTACAAATGAAAGCGCAGCAAGAGGGGACAAGTGTAGATACTGCGGTTAACCCTAGTACAGGTTCAAATCTAGTTCAACCAGGAATTAACACTGTGACCGGTAGTATTTTATATTACGATCCTAATAAAGATCGTGAAGAATTAGCAAAGATGGTTACCGTTATGTGCTTACCATATACTTTTCCTTCTAACCCTAATTTATGCATTATATTAGAAAAGTTTTTAATCCTACTTATAAAGGTTGGCCTCGCGCAACAGTTAAGAGCGATATTTATAAATATAAACATGAATATGAACAATATTTGCGGTATTTATTTACTCATATAACTAATCGGATTTCTATTACTACTGATATTGGTAGAAGTACTAATGACTGTGATTATCTAACTGTTACAAGTCATTGGATAGATGTGGAGTGGATAATGCAAAAACGCATTATTGCGTATAGAATAATTAATTCACGTCACATAGGTAAGTTTATTGCTAACACTGTTGCAGATATTTGTAGATATTTTTGCATTAGAGATAAAATAATGGCAATTTCTATGGATAATGCTTCTAGTAACACTAGTGCTATAGGCATACTTACAACAACACTAAATCTTGCATTTAGTAATTGTTTCCATGTGAGATGTATTTGTCATATTTACCATTTAATCGTCGGTGATGGTATGAGAATTTTAAATTTAGAAATTGAAAAGGTTAGAATGGCTCTTAATTGGCTTTTTTATTCAAACCGTAGAAGTAGACTTAGAGAGTACTTTAAAAAATGTGATGAATTTGGCCTTAGAGAAAGAAAGGTTCCTAAACCTTGTCCAACTAGATGGAATTATATGTACGAAAGTTTAGTAGTTGCATATGAATATAGAAACCCAATTAATGCAACGTTTAATGCTCGTGTTGGTGGTGAGGATGATGATGAAATCCTTACAAATCAAGATTGGACGAATGTCAAAATTCTTATAGATTTTTTAGAACATTTTCAAATTGCTACAAATGCATTTTCTGGACAATATTATCCTACTATTTCAAATTGTTTAGTTTATATTGCACCACTATGTGATTTGTTTGTTGAATTTTCGGAGGGTGGGGAAATTTATAAACTTGCTATAAATGCAATGAAAGAAAAGTTTAAAAAATATTTTTTCCCTATCCCCCCTATTTATGGTGTTGCTGCAATGTTAAATCCTACAATGAAATTAGGAGGTCCTCACTTTTGGTACTCAAATATTTATAAGGCTTTAGATCTTTCAGTTGAGGAATTTTCTACACTTGCAGAGGCAAAAGCCTCAATTAAAATAAATGCTCAAACAATTTATAATGCTTACCAACTTGCGTTAGATCATGCTAGGCCAGATGTTCCAACCCCTACTTCGTCTAGTTCACAATCATCTAAAAGAGCTGCGGGCCTAAAAGCACTTAAATCTTGGACGGAGTTTAGGGGTTCTCAAGGTGATAATTTTGATGAGACTTCACATCTAAATGAGCTTCAAGTTTATTTGTCGCAGGGACTTGAAAAGGAGAATCCAGACGGCACCTTTGATCTTTTGGAATGGTGGAAGGCAAGGGAAAAACATTTTCCGGTTCTTGCAAGGATGGCTCGGGATATTTTATCTATTCAAGCTTCAACAGTTGCATCAGAGAGCGCTTTCAGTCAAGCAAGACTTCAAATAGGTGATCATAGAGCGTCTATGAGGGAGAGCTTGGAAAAATCAGTACTATTCAAAGATTGGATCCGCTCGGAAAGAAGAAACTTTGGACTTGCAGAATCACAACCGGAGATAGACGAAGCTTATGAAGAAATGATAGCGGAACTTGCGGAGGATGCTGCTTCGCCCGGAAGCGGTGATGAATAAGCTTCTTTTCCGCCACCACCAACGGAACCTCCTCCGAACCTTGAAGGATTTATGAGATTTGTTAGAGATACAATGTAGATTATGGTGTAACTTGTACTTTGGCATATCTTCTTTAGTTTTTTTTCCTTTTAATGGTGGTATTAGTACCTTGTTGTGCTCATTCCATTGGGGGGAAGAAGACTAAGAAAGATATGCCATTTTTGGTAATAAAAATTATAAGACATGCCCTTGAATATCTCTTCGCAATATTTTTTTGTCTTTAACTTGCAATTATTTATAAGCTATAATATATATACATAACATACAATATATACTACAAGAAAATATATAAGGGAATATATATACATAACATACAACATATACTACAAGAAAATATATAAGGGAATATATATACATAACATACAATATATACTACAACAAATTATAGTATATTATACTAGTATACTATACTAGTATACTATATATATTATATTTACATGAAGAAGTAGTACTATATATACTACAAAACAAGATTTTTCAAAATGAGGGCCCCACCCCCAATGACCACCAACGGTCATATTAATTGCACAAATAGCCGTTTCTTTTTTCCAATTTACAAAACTAACCTTCTCTAACACTATAAGTACCCCCCTCCCTCTTCTTCATTTCAATACTCAATACTCATTTCTCAATCTCTCAATCTCCAATTTTCAAGACTTCAAGTCTCAATCTCAATTTTCAAGTTAAATCATGCCTCGTTCGGAAAGAGTGCGCTTATTTGTTTCGCAATACTATGAAGTGCTTGAAGAAAATGAAGAAGGCCAAATATTAAAGTGCAAGAACTGTGGAAGTCTTAAATTTTCGTTCAGGGTGTACCACAGGCATTTTAAGGAGGCATATAAAGTATTGTGTTGAGGGTATTTATCCGCAAATTCGTCTTTAAGATTTTTCAACAATTTGTGTTATTTTAAAATTATTAGACGTATTTATGCTTCATGTTGTACTTTGCTATTAATTTATTATGCATGCCAATTTAGTTTTACTATTGATTTGTTATTTTACATTTTCGTCAAACACTTTAATAATTAGATTTCAATATTATATATACTACATATATTTATATAGCCATGCATAAGAGCAATTTATATATATACATATACATATGGTTTACAAGAAATTGCCTTAAATAAAAAAAATTTAAAAAAAAAAAGCCCGGAAATAAAAAAAGTCCGTTAGGCCCGCTAAGCCCACAAGCCCGACCCATTTAGCCCAGGACCATATGGGCTTAGGCCCGTCACGGGCTGGTCCTACCCGTTGAGCCCACGAAGCCCGGGACCGCGAAGCCCGGGACCGCCAGAGCCCGGGACCGCTAAGCCCAGGCCCGGTTAGCCCGGCCCGGTTAGCCCATTTAGGCCCGGGCCCGGCCCACCATACAGCCTTAGAACTAATTATGCCTTATTATCTGGGGGGAAAACTTAACCAGCATGCAAAATGCTTCCCTTAACTCTTATAGTTCTTTATTACCTAATTATCAGAACAAATATAGTTCTTTATCACCTAGCCAAGAAAGAACAAGAGTTACTAACAATTAAAAAAACCATGGATTATCATTTCCATGTTTGAATTTTGTATGCCTTAGAAATTCAAATTAATGTCGGCAATTAAAATCTAAACAATGTTAGATAGATGTCTTGCCACACATCTTCAGTCAAACAAGAATAATTTAGATAAATGTTTGCAGTACTATTATACGGATCCAGCAGAGAAAAGTTAAACCACATTGTTCTTACCCACCTCTGTGACATAGCAACATTGACCTCGGCACTGACATGGCACTGTTGCTCCTGACAAGATATTGGCAATCTCTTTACAAGCGTCCTTGCTCAACCAAAAAGCAGCATCAGCTATTTCAGCTAAATTTACATTCTCCAAGTGACAGCACTTCCATCCCTACATACTGACTGAACAATGTTTTTTTTTTGAAGTAAGAGCATTATCATTGAAAAGCATCAAGAAGATGCAAAGTAGTTACAAAAAACAAAAGCAATGCTAGCTCCAGTACAATGTTGGCTAAGCTAATTTCAGGGAGCTAACAAAATCCAAAAAATTGATTGGGCAATTTATAGGGGTAAGGAAATTCCCCCTGTACTGAAGAATGTTCAGAATGTTCGCATCACATTTTTACAAACCACATCATGATCACTAATTTTTTTGAGAATGGTAAGGATAAAATATATTATAATCACTATAGGATCAATCAAACTTCTATTTTCTTTGCAAATAAGAAAAAATATGCATTCGCTGCCAAATCAGGAAAAAGAAAGACTAAGCAAAGAAGCTTGTCGTTTGTTTTCCTGTTTAAATCAAGGCTGGAATTTAGACTTGTTTAAACCTTTTTCCGGAGATAATCACCCAAACCTTATCTCTTTTTTTTCCTACTGTCCCGTCCTGAATATTCTTGATTTAGATCAACTTTTGCAATATAAAATTAAGATTATGGAAATAAACATCTAATCTTACAGGAGAATTCTGCCCTTCAGCAGCTGTATTACTACTTACGGGTACTATTCCCTTATTGCGGTTGAGAAAAAGGCTAACGGCAAAACATGTGTCAAAGCATTGTTTATAAAAAAATAAAATCAGTGAATAATAGCAGGCCTTCGGAAGGTAAATTCTTTTACAAACAAGAAAAGCATACAAATCTCAGGATAGATGTATGAGGTTTATTCATTTCTCAAAGAATTTGCACAAAGTATCCATACCCACGTTACTCATCAAAAAGCAGGTTTTGTCCATCTCTGGATTATCAACTGCTCGGTTGATTTCTAAGTAGGAGTGCGCAAGATAATCTACGAATGTCCATAATCCCTGTCATTCATGTGCCAAAATAAAGAGAAATAAAACAAACAACCAGAAAACTAACCACCCAAGGCATAACGCAATCACTACCAGGTTGTTTTATCTATAGAAATGTGAAACGACCAGCTCAATTTCCATCCTTTGACTGGTTGCACATAAAATGGTTTAACAAAGAGACAAAGATGGTTTAGAAAATCACAGAAGAAACCAAATGCTGCAATAGTCTAGCCAAACCAAAAGACAAAAACAAACTTAGAATAAAACAAATTTTAAGCCAAATGAATAGCTGGTATTCTTGGAAGTCCATGTCGCATGGTTCTTATAAAGATCCTACCATTTTCACGCTTTTAAGCTGCAAATTCTTCTTTTTTTGATACTCAGAAATTTATACCTCTGAAACTCGGTAGATAATCAGTGTAATTATAATGGAAGATCATCAAAACTTTTCAGAAAAGAAAAAAAAAAGACAGCTAGTAATTTATCTGTTTACCAAAAAAAGCAGATAAGTAGATGCAAATCAAATGGATGTTCTCTGTACAAAGATAAAATCTCTAGTCTTTTCCCCTGGAGCAAACACTGAAACATTTTCTTGAATATTAAGGACGCAGATGCCCTCAATATACAAACTTTACCATGGGGATCCTGCATGATTCCAAGAAACTTGATATCATATCAGACCAAATTAACTTTTTTTTTTATTTGCACCGGGTGTCCGAGTCTCTAAGAGCCCCAACTAATCCCGGGGGTGCACAGGCCCTCGGCAAGGAGTTTCCCGCAAGTGCACCACGGTTAATTCAGGTTTTACCCAGTCCGATGGCCCTCAGAAATTGTTTGCACCCAGTGGGTTTCGAACTTGAGACCTTGAAAGGGAGCAAACCCCAAGGCTCAAGTCTATTGCCACCAGGCCAACCCCTGAGGGTTATATCAGACCAAATTAACTTGCAGTAGTAAGTAAGCTTAGATGCCTTATAAAATAATTTAACGTGGTCTACTAAAGTTTCATTTTTTGTGTTTTGCTACGTTTACTAGAGCACACCAATGTTCACACTAGTGATGGTTGTTTAACACTAGGAGCAGCAGCTACTCAGGGATTGTTGTCAGTGCCCATAGCCTCTGTTAATGTGTCTATAGTCTTGAATAATCTGCCTAGAGATTAACAATAATTATATACTATTATCAAATAAGTTGTTGTTCAGTTTTAAAATTTGATATTGACTCTCAATGTAAGTTTACCATACACTGCTTAACTTCTGAACTTTTATAATGTGAATTGTTTGTTAACATTGTTTCTAATATTCAATCCGATAACAAACCTCTAAAGTTATAATGTTATCATTCTTCTATTCTTATCAAGGTTGATGAATTTCTACTGTAGCTTCTTTTAAAATAACTTTATTAGCAAAAAACAATACAGAGCAACCGACCTATGTAATTTTCATGAAAACCTATAATGATGTGTTTGCTACCCCTTTTAAGGTCTAAGAGTGGTCTGAATTATGTACTCATGTAAACTGCATATTCAGCACGAATGAAGCAGAGAGGGAAGATATCTATCAGTTGGACAAGAGATAACACGCTAAAATTGAACAAAAAAAAAACAGCATAAAACCGAGAAAAGAAAGAAAGACAGTGAAGTTCAATTTTTGTTGGAACTAAAGTGACTATTCATCCTTCTTAGAACCATAGTTAGAAGATTAAATTGAGCATTGACTGAAATAGACTCATAAGGTCCTAACCTTAAATCAGTTTAACTTCTCCCAAATAATACATAATCGGAACATATACGAAACTAGTATTGAATACATATATGGAAGCTACATCCATGATTTCCCCTCAGAATAAAATAAAGATCACAACAACAAAGTTATTTAAAATGTATTTTTTGAAGAAAAAAAAGGTGATCAAACTCGACTAAAAAAGAAGGAGGAAAGAAAAAGGCGATTGATTTGGCCATGTATGATATATTTAGAATAAAAATTTAACTATATATTATCATAAAAGAAAAAGAGTTACAACAAAAAATAGTCTTTCATCAGAGGAAAAATAGTCTGATTGCAAAATTCCTACAGTAACGAAAAAGGTCATGCCTAACCATTTACTTAACTTAACCAGAACACTAAGCAAATAGTATGTTTTATCAATCAACAGTTGCTACTTTTAATGTTTTACCAAAGGCGGGTTAATCCATTTATACTGAAAGAACCAACAGGACACAAAGTATAGACCTTTTAGATAATTAAATCAAATTACCTCTCTATCTCAACATCATTCTATAGTTGTAAAATCTCCATATTTAACCCAAAATCATACTCCCTCTGTTCCAATTTATGTGAACCTATTTCCTTTTTGATCCGTTCCAAAAAGAATGAACCCTTTCTAAATTTGGTAACAATTTAGCTTAAACTTACAACTCTACCCTTAATGAGAAGCTTTTATAACCATACAAATACTCTGGGCCCCATTTGGACTTGTTTAGGACCACAAATTCTAAAAGTCTTCATTTTTTCTTAAACTCCGTGCCCAGTCAAACAGGTTCACATAAATTGGAACGGAGGGAGTAGCAATTTAGACATAAGTATTTTATACCGGCCAAGGTTGAGGAGGTCATGGGAGCTATGAGTAAGATGAGTAGGGGCAGAGCGACCGGGCCTGACGAGATTCCGGTAGAATTTTGAAAGTGTGTGGGGAAAGCAGGTTTGGAGTGGTTGACTAGGTTGTTGAATGTTATTTTAAGGCAAAGAGGATGCCGGATGAGTGGAGGTGGAGTACGGTGGTCCCGTTGTATAAGAACAAGGGTGATATCCAGAGTTGTAACAATTATAGGGGTATCAAATTACTGAGTCATACTATGAAAGTGTGGGAGAGGGTGGTTGAAGCGAGGTTGAGGATGACGGTGTCCGTTTCCGACAACCAGTTTGGGTTCATCCCGGGTCGTTCTACTACAGAAGCTATACACCTTGTTAGGAGGTTGGTTGAACAGTATAGAGATAGGAAGAAAGACCTGCACATGGTGTTTATTGACCTAGAGAAAGCGTATGACAAGACAAAGTTCCTAAAGAGGTTCTCTGGAGAAGCTTAGAGGCAAAAGGCGTGTCGGTTCCCTACATTATGGCGATTAAGGACATGTATGATGGGGCAAAGACTCGGGTTAGGACAGTAGGAGGCGACTCTGAGGATTTTCTGATTGCTATGGGGTTACACCGAGGTTCTGCGCTCAGCCCGTTCTTATTCGCCGTGGTGATGGACGCGTTAACACACCACATTCAAGGAGATTGCCATGGTGCATGCTATTCGCCGATGACATAGTTCTGATTGATGAGTCGCGAGCCGGTGTTAACGAGCGGCTAGAGGCTTGGAGACAGGCTCTTGAATCTAAGGGTTTCAAGCTTAACAGGTGTCACACCTCCTTTTTTACGCACCCGAGGGTATATAAGGGAGTTTTTCCACTTTAAGTGACATTATTCTAAATGAGATTATTTATTTATCAGAGTCGCCACTTGGGATATTTATTTGGTGTCCCAAGTCACCGGTCTATTTTACAAATCCCAAATCGAGAAAATTCGACTTTCCTTTTGAAGTCTGCGAACCAGAAATTCTGAATAAGGAATTCTGTTAACCCGGGAGAAGGTGTTAGGCATTCCCGGGTTCCGTGGTTCTAGCACGGTCGCTTAAACTATTATAATTGGCCTATTATCTGATTTTAATACATGTTTTAGCCTATGGTATATTTTTAACTTATTAGCCGCTTTTAATTATTTTTAGGAAGCTTCAACGTTATTTAAAACACATCTTGAACCACGCCACATGAAATGCACCCGCGGTCCACGACACATTTTATTTAATGTTGTTGAGAATTGGAGTTGGGTCACATGAAATGCAAACCCGAATTTAGGAAATTAATTTAAAATAACGCGCCTAAAGCAACTACGCGCTTTCAAGTTAATAACAAGGTTTGCGAGGGCCATGGAATATTCAGCTAATGGCACACCTCGATTTTATTACAAGAATTACTTCAACCAAAGATTTAAGGCCATATTTACACAATTACTAAGAAAATTGCACTGGGCTAAATCTGATGAGCAAAATCACATAAAGATGTAAATCTACACCCTAACTTCAACGTTTCTTAACAGTAAACTGAGCTATTAAACAAACGAATAATTCAATTTGCACGGCAGAACACAATGAACGAAATACAATTTCACTTACCAACGAAAACGAACAAATTTGCAAAGAAACATAAATCAACCAGAATCCTAGTAAAACAACAAATCAACCGAAATTCCAACTCAATATAAATTGAGCAAAACAGATCAACCATAACACAAGAACAACACAAAAAAGAACGACCAAATACTGCTAAGAAATCGTGAGAAGAATACAGCACAAACTCACATTGGAAACTCACAAATATGCAACTAAAAAGATAGAAAAAATCAGAAATCAAAGCTTTGTGGCCTAGAATAACCACAGATCTAAAACCAACTCACAATCCATGCGTTTGAGCACATATCCATAGATCTAAGTCAAAATCTCATACTGGATAGAAGCGACGAAACTCAGAACATTTAGACAGATTCAAACTATGTCTTTCAATCGCGAAGCAAAACTGAAAATATTGAGATAATAGAAGAATGAACCTTTGTATTAATGAAGCAAGAACAGAGTCGGAATCTTTGCCATAATACATGAACAACGGCCAGAAAGTTCTAAAGGCAACATCGCCGGAACCTCGAACCGGCGCCGAAAAACTCGACACCCAAGCTCGGAGCTAACGTTCACTCGATTTTGGACGGAAACTCGTTGCCTCCCTTCTACTCTCGTTCTCTCTGTTTTTCGTTTCTGTACATGTGTGTGGCTGTGTGCGTTGAGGGGGAAAGGGTTCTCTTGTGTTATGGCTGAAGATGAAGGATGAAGAAGATGAAAGCTAGGGTGTCATGGCTGGTCGGCGATGGAGTTTTAGTGGACGTTGGTTGCTGCAGGTTTTGGAATGGAGGAAGGAGATGGAACGAAGGGGTCGTTTGGGGTGGTATTGAAGAAGACGACGAAGTCAAGGGGGAGGGGTCTGTTTGTCTGCGGCGGTCAGCTATGTCTGCCGCTGTCAGCCCCTTCAGATTTTTCAGCCTTGCAGGTCTATATCCCTTTTTGTTTTTGTATCTTTTTTGCTTTTTCTCTTTGATCTTTTTAGAAAACGGCGGATCAGTGTTTTTGGCCTAGGTCTATATTTAGGGATTTGGTATTATTATATAGGGGTACGGATTAGATTAAGGGTATGTGCCTCTACGAATTATGGGCTTGATAATTATGGACTAGGTCTAAAAATTAGGCCTAAAAATAGGTTGCTCGAGCCCAAGTTTTATTCTTTCCCCGCAAACGAGATTAAAATACGATCTCATTTATTAATTAGTCCAACTTAAGTAAAATAACTGTTAAAATAAGACTGACCGTTAAAATAAAACTATTTTTTGGTATTTTTCAAAAATTAAAAAAAAATGACTACAACACATTAATGAAACTATTTTTTTTGTAATTTTTATTTTCTTGTAATAAAATAAAGTAAAAGAGTAAAAATTAGTTGAAATAGCTATATTAAGCCTAAATTAAATATTTACGTACTAAAATATGAAAAATCTTGGGGAGGCTCAAAAATCACATGTCTACAGCAGGACGAAGACGGAATACCTGGAGTGTAAGTTCAGCGCTGAGCGAGGGAAGTGGGCGCGGATGTGAGGCTTGAATCACAGGTCATCCCGAGCAGAGGCAGCTTCAGGTACCTTGGGTCGGTTATCCAGGGGGGAGGGGACATCGACGAGGATGTCACACACCGTATTGGAGTAGGATGGATGAAGTGGAGGTTAGCATCTGGAGTATTTTGTGACAAGAGAGTGCCACTGATACTCAGAGGTAAGTTCTATAAAGCGGTGGCTAGACCGGCCATGATGTATGGGGCTGAGTGTTGGCCTACTAAGAAGTCATATATCCAGAAGATGAAGGTAGCAGAAATGAGGATGTTGAGGTGGATGTGCGGGCATACTAGGATGGATAAGATTAGGAATGATGATATTTGGGAGGTGTGCGTGGCTCCCATTGATGACAAGATGCGGGAAGCGAGGCTCAGATGGTTCGGGCATGTTCAGAGGAGAAGCCTGGATGCTCCTGTAAGGAGGTGCGAACGGATGGTTATGGAGGGCACGAGAAGAGGTAGAGGGCGGCCTAAGAAGTATTGGGAGGAGGTGATCAGGCAGGATATGGCGAGGTTTCAGATTTCCAAGGACATGGCACTTGATAGGAACATGTGGAGGTCGAGTATTAGGGTTGTAGGTAGGAGTTGGTTGAGTCTTGCCTTGTGTCATAACTTTGTGAGACTAGTTTGGTAGGGATACTATTTCGATTTTGCTTTGCATCTTTCTTCTGGATTTCATGTTGTTCCTATTTTTCCTATTATTTCTGTGGTGTTACTGATATTGTCTCCTTTTGTCTTTTTGTCCTCTTGAGCCGAGGGTCTTTCGGAAACAACCTCTCTACTCCTTCGGGGTAGGGGTAAGGTATGCGTACACACTACCCTCCCCAGACCCCACTAGTGGGATTTTACTGGGTCGTTGTTGTTGTTGTTGTATTTTATACCGGCCAAAAAAAATCACTTCATAACTGGACCAAAAAATGCAAGTAACCTAGAAGAAAGCTAGAAAAAAAGGAATTCGAAACTTAGTCTCAAGATCCAAAGACACCACAAACTGAGAAGCAAAACATTCAAGAGAGCTCAAAAATCTAAGGCAAAAAAAAGAGAACTAATAGATTTTAAGCAAATATATCCTTGAGGTACTTCAAAAATTCTTCGTCACACTTAGATATAGATAAGAGTCATTTTCGCTTAATTGAATGATCGTTAATTGAACCAAGAAATATTTGCAAGATATATTGTTTGGAGGAATTTGAAATTGTGACATAAATAGGTTAAATAATATACTCACTAAGAAACTTAGGAATCCCGTAAAGAAAGCCAATAAAAGTATTTTAACTCGATTAGAGTAAAGATTATATCCTTTATAAAAGTAAAATGAATTTTAATTTTTGTATAAGAAATAGGGGTTATCATACATGGAAGTACAATGAAAGTCCACATAATAGTTCACTAACAAAAGCTTAATTAGAAAGATAACAATTACCAAAAGCACAGTAGATTGAAGTAATGGTTAACATGGACAGCTGATGGAGGATTGAACTGAAGAGCTTCTGATTGTAAACTGGATAGTCAATCTCTAGCTTTTTTTCAAGTAACTCTTACCCCAGATAGAGAAAATGAGAAATACGAAATAGAAAAAAACAGGTTTGAAGTTTCAAATTTAGGAGAACAAAATCGGGATCTGTGGACCTCTTCAAACTCAATTCCATTCGATCTTGCAATATTAAACTTTAAAATATGATTCCAGAAATATAATTTAAACTACTGCTGCAGACCCTACTGATTGTCAAAACATGTAAACTCCATAAAAGCATATCAATTCAAATAATACTAGAAAGTAAATTAAGATATGAACAGCCCATAAGAATTGTTCGTACGCATTCAATCAGACTATATTGCTCAAATACCCCAAATATAAAAATAAAAATCAAAGACTAGGGTAACAAGGAACATTAAAACTGAAAGCTTAATTCAAACACACAACCAACGAATGTGGTTATCCCAAATTTATAAAAAAATAAATTTATAGAACTTAAAGCAATGGTTTCTCCCACAACTACCAGCGACAATTTTCAGCAAAGAGATGGAAGAAACTTTGGTTGTGTTTTGGTTATTTCTTAGCGTCAACCTCTCGTCTTTTTCTTCCTTCTTTCAAGTTATAATTTTAATCGAAACCCTAATTGAAAAATTATAGAAATCTCAATCACGTACAAATAGTATGAACGCCAAGTTGGCTCTCATTTTTGATTTATTACGTAAAAAAATATTGATAAGCAAAGAAAAAAATAGAAGGTGAAAGAAGAGGGTTTTGGCGGGTTTCACCGAAAATTGAGAGGAACATGAATCGAGCGTTTGGACATAAGAATTGTAAAATTTCAAAACAAAAATTTAGAGGAACATGAAGCGGGCGTTTGGACATAAGAATTGTAAAATTCTAGTAATAAAAAGTAAAAAATAAAATTCAAGTGAAAATGGTATTTAAAAATTAGTTGTGTTTGGACATGAATATAATTTTGGATTATTTTTGAAGTTTTGTGAGTACTCTGAGTGAAAATTTTGAAAAACAATTTTTTTGAGTTTTTCAAATTTTCAAAAAATTCCAAAATGCATCTTCAAGTGAAAATTGGGAATTTTATGACCAAATAATGATTTAGAAAAAAAAGTGAAAATTTTTCGAAAAAAGGGGAAAATTTTCTTATGTCCAAACGGGCTCTTAGAGTTGTGTTTGGACATGAATATTATTTAAGGTTGTTTTTGAAGTTTTGTGAGTGGTTTGATTGAATTTGAATCTTTTTTTTTGAGTTTTTTAAATTTTCGAAAAATTCAAAAAATCATCTTCAAGTTAAAATTGGAAAATTTATAGCTAAACACTGATTTCGAAAAAAATAAAAAAAAATTGAAAAAAAATTTAAAAAAAATTATGTCCAAACGAGTCCATTCCCATTGAATTTTTTTTCAAGATTCGTTGAAATAGATTTATCTATTGGAACGATTCAGATAAACGTTGCAAAATGAAATATCTATAGGAATGGTTCCAACTCAAATGCAATAGTTTTATAGTCATAGTGTGTCAGTAGTACCCGTGACTTATTGCAAGGGTTCCAACCGTTGCAAAAATATCTGTTGTCATAGGCCCATTTTCTAGTAGTGTTATTATACTGCTTCTTTGCCCCCACCCCCTTCCTCCTCCTTCGCTATCCTCTTAGTATTTCTTCGGCCGTAGATCTACTCCTCTTATGATCAAACAGTCAAACCCATAAAATTTAACTTGGATACTTATGTTAAGAGCCAAAGCTCTTTTAAAATGGCTTATTGCATATATATATATATATATATATATATATATATATATATATATATATATATATATATATATATATATATATATATATATATNTATATATATATATATATAATTGCATATTATACTTAGTATTCAATCTTCGGTCATCACATTGTGCAAGTGACTTCTCCGAACAACATAGGGTGCACCTTTGAAGTGGGGGCGGAACTATTGCGTCCAACATTGCTGTTAGGCAAGCCAGCAACAAATCAACACGCTGATCGATAGTTTCATAACACATTTTGAACAAGTGATGAAATAAATAAGCGAAGTCGTTCCATTTTTATAGTAAAATACTGACAACATCTACAAAGTTTGAACATGATCAAAATATAAAACTGAATGTCATAACAGAATACAACCATGAACAATGGTCTAAAATTCCCAAAATTCGGTGTCACAAGTACATGTTCTACTTAGAATATACAATATTACTACAACAACTACCCGGAATAGGAAATAGATAAAATCAATAAATGAATATGAAGAGGACTCTGTGTGCTACAGATCGTAACATATAAGCAGCTCACCCCAAAATATCCTCAGTAGTTTCTCCTACGCACCTGTATTACCACCAAATGTACATATCTTAGTATCTGCACAATTAGTGCGAAAGTATAGTATGAGTACATAAATCAACGTGTACCTAGTAAATATTTAGTCTAACCTCGAAGAAGTAGTATTGAGGGGTCGAACATCTACACTTACTAGTGGTCCAATAATCAAAGTACAATAAAAGTAGACAGGTATACAGCATAGCAAGTAGAAATAAAACAGATAAATATGTATAATATGATTCTCAACAGCAGAATAAACGAAATCGTCAAATATCAAATACTACCTCGAATGGAATATATGTGACCAATATCAGGTGCAAATGTCAAATACGAGTTAGGATACTCAGATATGCACTAATTCTCTGTCGAAATATTACGCACGATTCTGCCGAGGCGAACGACCCGATCCCATAAGAGTAGTGTTACATGATACTGTCGAGGTACGACTCGATCGCATAAGTGTATCTCATAATACTACCGAGGCGAACAATCTGATCCTACAAGAATGGTGTTATATGATATTGTCGAGGTCGTACGGCCTGATCCCATAAGTGTATCTCGTGATACTACCAAGGCGAATGGTCCGATTTTATAAGAGTAGTGTTGAGGCGATCGGCCCGATCCAG